ATTGTTTGTAACCCTTATTGTCTTTTGTTCTTTCTTGTCTTTGTAATTGTATTTGTTGTTCTTCTATTGCATAATACAAATATATATAAGGCTGCCTTAAAACTTTGCATGCATGTCATATAATTTATATGAGTCACATTTAAGAACATGTCTCTGAAATGGTTTTCAAAAATGTCCTGGAGCAGCCCAGCACTGTCTCACTCATCTAACACACCCGATTTAATTCGTCAGCTCATTAATAGAGACTTTAAGACCTGAAGTGGGTCAGAAAAGGTAAAAAGATTTGAGAGAAAATATAATGCATGTCAGATCCGCATCACGTTCAGCAGCGGTAGCTCTTAAAGAAATAACAGCCAAAACAACCTAATAACCAGCTGCTGTTATGTCTATTAATCAAAGGACAAAGAAAAAAAAGAGGAAAAATGCTTTTACAGTTATAAGGATTCATCTATATTTAATTTAGAATTTAGTGTTTGATAACTTCAATCAATTTCAATATATTTCTGCTGAAGGGCACAGGTAAATATGACATTATAATGGGTTTATGTGAAGATTGTTTTAAAGGGTTAGTTCACCCAAAAATAAACATTAGCCCACAAATGACTCACCCTCAAGTCATCCTAGGTGTGTATATGACTTTCTTCTTTCAGACGAATCCAGTCGGAGTTATATAAAAAATTGTCTTTGATCTTTCAAGCTGTTTCATGGCACTCAGCGGGTGTTGCATGCATCAGTCCAAAAGAAGCAGTTCCGGGCAGATGACGTATGAGGTCGGCGTTGCGCATGCGCCGCTCAGAAGTGACGAACGAGGAAGCGCAGGGGAGAGATCAAAACAAAACACCGGTCACTAATTAAAAGTACAAAACGAGGATTTGTAAAGAAGAATGTCAGAGGATTTCGATATAAGCCAAGAGGAGACTGGTTTTCCTTTGCTAAAGTAAGGAAACTTTGCTTCCTTTGCTCCAGTTAACAAACGTTGGTTTTCACGACTCACCGGCGCATGCGCAACGCTGAACTCATACGACATCCGCCCGGAGCTGCTTCCGTGTACAACTGTTGGCGCAAGCTACATTAAAGTGATTATTAAGTTTTGAATATGGATTTTTCATACAAAAACGCATCGATTCGCTACAGAAGGCCTTTGTTCACACCCCAGAGCCGCGTGAGATACTTTTTTTTATGGATGGGCGCTTTTTTATTGAACTTCTTTTGGACTGATGCATGCAACACCCGCTGAGTGCCATGAAACAGCTTGAAAGATCAAAGACAATTTTTAATATAACTCCGACTGTTTGTCTGAAAGAAGAAAGTCATATACACCTAGGATGACTTCAGGATAAGTAATTTGTGGGCTAATTTTCATTTTTAGGTGAACTAACCCTTTAAGTTCACTTAAATTAGAAGTTATTTTTTCAAGTCTAATAAATGTTAAAATTGATAGCTCTCAATTATATTGTAATGTTGAATGGTTATAGTCAATGGTTAAATATTAGGGGCAGGGGGGGCAATTTTATAAAGAAATCAGTATTGGTATCATTGATACTGGCCTTCAGTCATAAAAAAAGATGTCACTAAACAAATATTCAAAAATATACTGTCTTTGTTGGTTATAGTCAATGGTTAAATATTAGGGGCAGGGGGGGGCAATTTTATAAAGAAATCAGTATTGGTATCATTGATACTGGCCTTCAGTCATAAAAAAAGATGCCACTAAACAAATATTCAAAAATATACTGTCTTTGTTGTTTGTACATTAATTTGAAGATTGAATGTGAAATTATTGCAATATAAAAGTATATTTAAAAACTTTAATGTTAGGGATTAATCGCGATTAATTTCAGAAAAATGTAAAATGTAATTACAAATTTAACTTAAAAATGTAACTGGCTTCCAAACAAACAAACATGTTCTTATCTTTTTTGTTTTGTTTTTGGTCACATATAAGTGTGTGCAGCTGTGGAAACTTATCTCCTCTTCTCCACTACGTAAGTAAAAGAGAAAATGAATGTATAATTCATATTGTTAGATTTATTTAATTATTACTTTCGGTTTATGTATAAACATACCCAGTCACAAAAAATATTAAAACTATCCCATGACTTTATATCACTTTTTTCTTTTAAGATTGTGAAGGGCTCACATACTGTCCATTTTTGCTTTTGGCCTTCATAAACATAATTGTTTTTACATAAACACATGGACACACTGTATCTCTAAACTCAATTGAGTATTTCAGATGTATCACATCCCACAACCTATCTGCAGAGAAAAATCGCCACTTAATCACACCAAAATGATGGACTTTAAGGCATCATATTGATTGGATTGTGATTGTTTCACTGAAACTTGGTCTTCATCACATCTATTTTTTGTTCTTATTTTGTTTTACTTATTTATGTATTTATTCATGTTCAATGTCAATTGTCATTCATTAATGTATTCAGCTAATAACTGTTGTTAAGAGCACTGATCATTTTGCATGCCAATAAAAACATAATTCACACAACATGCTGCTGTTGTGGTTATTGTTGTTGTTTTAATGTAAAACCTTAACCGAGGCTACACTCTAAGATGCCTCATTACTGATTTTTTGGAGCTCAGCCATCCAAATACACAGACTGTCAACACACTCTCATCAGGTAAATAATTAATTTCTTAAAATGTCTATAAATTATAACTTTCAAATGCTAATTGATTTCCTATGTCTTTTCTCTTTTTAGTTTAAGAGAACATGTAAGTGTGACCAGCTCTATTCAGTTAAGGATACTCTCCTCTTCTTCACTAAGTAACAAAGATATTGAATTTTTGGTCCATGTTAGATATTTTTATTACTAGGGGTTATGCATAAACATACCAAGCTATCCCTTGACTTTATATTACTTTTTCCTTTCAACATTGTGAACAACCTTCATAAACAATTGTTTTCATATAAACAAATTAAAGTAGACACACTGTATATCTAAACTCAATTGTGCATTTCAGATGCTGTCACATCCTACAACCTCATCATCTGCAGAGAGAAACTGCTATTCAATCACAGCAAAATACAGATAATGATTAACTTAGAGGTATCATCGAAGATACACTCCAATACACTATTTATGTTCTATTTTGTTGTATTTCATTAAAGGGGTCATATGACCTTGCTAAAAAGAACATTATTTTGTGTATTTGGTG